TTATTGCTTATTTTGGAAAGATCATCAAAATTTTAAAATTGAAACAATTGGATGTGTACTTGTGACCGGCACTGTACCATTGATAATGATGATGATGATGATGATGTCAAAAATAATGATAATGATAACAATAATAACGATAATGATAACAATAAAAAAGACAATAATGATGGTGACAATAATAGCAACAGCAACTTACATTGACAATGGTATTAATGATAAAAATAATAGTGGTACTGGTGGCCACGAGGAACTGCCACAACACAAACCCTCCCTCTATTCATTTGCATCAGCACGTACATTAACAACAAGGATAATAAATGGGGATATGAGAACGTTGGTTTGATGAAAAGGACCTACAACGGAGTCACCAAAACAAAAAATCTTGAAACAAATATCCTATCAATTCTAGATAAAAAAAGGGTTTCTTTTAGAATTAAACCAATGTGTAAACTATATTAGGCAAATGCATGTATTAATTTATTTATTAGATTCCAATACATCAAAAAGGACTACAATTTCAACTATTGGCAAGTGGTAATATTTTTATATTTGGAGGCCATGGAATTGAAACTTACATATTCAGTTATAACATATCGTCGTCATCATCAAACAATAAAAAAAAAGGAAAAAAAAAATGTTGACAAGAATCGAGCAGCACTAAAAAAACTTAAAGACGTATTTGTTGAATCAAGCGATTTTTCAAAAAAAATAAAAACAAAAACAAAAGACACCAGGAAATAAAAGAAAGATTATTAAGAGAGGAAGGTCTTTTGAAAAAGTTGTTGAAAAATTGTTGAAAATGAACAAGAACATGGTGATGAAGTGGGAACTTGTCAAGATATACAAACACACACACAAAATATCTTAATTCCTTTTAGATCGATTGTATATTTGCAATAATAATGTGTTTGTGATGGTATATCATGTGCATGTTATAATAAATAATGAGTGATGAGAGTACTTATTAGTTAATAAAATTTATGTGACGGATTTTCTTTATTTCCTTCGATCATGTTGCCCGACTAGCATTGAGATGATACAAGACAAATGTTATCCTGTTTATTATATTGCGACATTGGTTATACACATGTGTTATAATAACGAGTGATGAAAATACATTTACTAATTAATTGGATAATATTAAGGAGACTAACATCAAGACAAGACAAGACAAAAAAATGTTATTCTATTTGTTTTATTGTGACATTTTGTTATACACATGTTACAATAACAAGTGATGAAAATACTTTTCTTAATTAATTAATAAAGTTTACACAATTTTGCTCCATAATAATGCCTTCTCATTGATTTTTCATAAAACACAGGGTTTAACCTTACCTCATATATATGCTGAATGCCAAGCTTGAGTAGAGCAAACTCCTTGGAAAACTGAAATTTGATTTTCTCAAATAAAATGTTCAAAAAGTACTTTGATCGAATACAAGAGATTGGAAAAATTAATCATGATGATAAAATATTTATTTACTATATATAATATTAACAAAGTAATAGTAGTCTTGGTGATACCAGCGACCTTTTTTTTGGGGGATGGCGCACCGTTCCTTGCTTATAGTTTTTAATAAAATAATAACAACATCATTAATTAGTCTTTCAACTATTGGAATTCATCATTACAGTCAAAGCTCGTTATAGTGTATCTCGTTATAGTGGACACATAATAAAATCTCGTTATAGTGGATCTTTTTTGTTTCCAATGCTAATTAATTTCGCTCGATATAGTGGAAAACATAATAAAATTTCGTTATAGTGGAAAAAAAGAGAAAAATTACATATGGAACCAAGGGTCCACTATAACGAGTTTTGACTGTACATAATAAATCTACAACTGGATTATGTTGCTTTGATATAGAAAAATGGTCATAAATATCCAATGATACCTAATTGTGATGTTTAAAATTTATTTTAGAATATTCAAATATCAGAAAGCTTATTATGAAGAATCATTTAATAATTGTAGAATCACCGCTTGCTTCCAATACCCTTATGAGTTAGAATATTATTGATGATGATGATGTTGGTCTAGTATACTTTCCCATATTTTGAGGAGGAGCTCAGGGTAATTCGGTAGTGGTTGGGTTACCCGTGATTGGATTACAACTGGAGGAGGCCTATCATACACTACCGATGATTTATCTGGGTGAAAGTAAAAGTATGGCATTGAAGTGATTTCGCCATCATCATCTAAATGTCAATGTGCAGTTGTAACCCTAGAATTTCTATTGTTTTTTGATGGCCTTAAGTTATAGGTTCATAACCAGTGCCCAAAATGTCAGGGATTAGAATTTGAGGAGGGCTTGTAATTGCAAATTCGCACAAATTTGAACATTTTTTCTGCCATCTCCAATCACATCCGTCGAAGTTCCATTTTACAAGTTCAAGACGTTTGAAGAATTCAGGCCAGGATTGAAATATTTCAATCAGCCTTTCCCAGGTCATTTTTAAACACCAACCGAAGATTCAAAAAACATTGCTGGGTGGAGATGAGTTTCTCAAGACAATCAAGAGTTTCTTCAACACGCTCATTAGAGTTATCATAAAGATTGATATCGAGATGCAACTGGAGGAAATCATTTAAAATATTTGCCGTGAGTGATTATGCATTAAAAATGTTAGATGCAATATGCAAATGTAGACTAATATCAACAATATAAAGAAAATTTCTCACTCAGTGCATATGAGCATCGTTTAGAAGTACAAACATACCAGTCTGGTGCAATTTGTTTGTTAATGTCTTCATGAGATTATTTTTTGGAAAAGGCATATGTATTTTGAGAATTGAATATTGGGGCATAGCATGATACTGTTGTCCATATTTCGTAATTCATAACACTATTATTCATAATGAAAGTGTTAGACAAACACCAACATTTGTTAGCATTTGAAGTATTTCTGGAATCCTTCGATGCATCCCTTCCAACTTTAATAGGTTTGTGTAATTTAGTTCTTTAAGAAAAATGGATAATTGTAAAGTCCTGGAAACTCTTGAACTGAACCCTGCGCAGAATCCTTTGACATTTCTTGTTCAAGAAACAATTCATATGTCTTTAGTGCAGCCATGGACAATGGACCAGTAACAATGTTGACTACAATCTATGAAATTACTGGTGCAGAAAATAGAGTAGAAAAAATGCATTGTTGTCCAAGGATCACAAGTACAAATGCAGCAAAAGTCAGACAAGTATTTGGAAATGCAGTTAAAAAATCTCTTCCAATTCCAAAAGTAATAGATGATTACAATGCTCATATGGGTGGTGTAGACATGGCTGATCAATTACATGGTTATTATGCTACTCAATTGACAGCAAGAACTTGGATACCAATGTTCTTTTGGTTACTAGATACTGTAATTGTTAATTGTTACTTAATCCATAAAAATTGCAATGGAGATTTGGATCACAAAGATTTTAGAATAAACTTGGCTTGGGATTTAATTAATTCTGGTTTGGATGAAAAAAATGATATTAATATTAGAAGTTCAAGAAGTACTTCAAGAAGCAATTCAAGAAGTACTTCAAGAAGCAATTCAAGAAGTACTTCAAGAAGTATTTCAAGAAGTATTTCAAGAAGCAATTCAAGAAGTAATTCAAGAAGTAATTCAAGAAATGATAGAGCAATTTACATAACAACAAGTAACCTTGCTTTACCTACAGAAAGATTAAGGCTTGGTAGGCATTTTCCTGGAATGGGTAAGAGAAAAACTTGTGTGTGGTGCAGATACAAAAGACAAAAAGAAGGGAAAATTTTCAGGTAATGAATTAAAATCTGTAGTTTACTGCAGTTTATGTAAAGTTCCACTATATTTCAAGGATAATAGAAATTGTTTTACAGATTTTCATACACTAGAAATATAATAAATTAAATTATCCAACATCTGTCTGTTCAATTAATTTTATAAAAAAAATATAAAACATATTAAAATTTATTTATATATAATAATAATAAAAATATTAAAAATAATAAAATGATAATAATTAAAAAATAAATATTGTTTTGATTTAAATTAACATTCAACTCCTTCACCAACTTTGTTTTCACTTCATTCTCTATCTCTTCTTTCACCTCTCCTTTCAACTTTTCCCTCAAAGCCTTTCTTTCTTTTAAATGTCTGAGAACTTTTTTATGTTGTAGATCTTCAATGAAGCAAATTAGGTCATCATCATATATGCTATTTTCATCTGATATGATGATATTAGATGATGCCAACTTAGCTTCTGTGCTCATTTGTTTACCTATTTGGTGTTCGGAATTAACGACTAATATACCAACTGAGGTATGTAGCCATTACACCTTTTAATTCACGAACAGCTTGAGGGAAGGTCTTGCTGTGCTATAAATTAAAAAAAACCATTAATAATATAGTTAATAATATATTTAATAATATATATATTCATATTAAATAACATGATTACTTTGCATTGGACAACTAGGACATATCTTTCACCCTCATAAACAAATGATCCTATTAAGTCAATTCCTCCATTCCCGGAATGCCTAGAAAATAATAATAATAATATAAAAAAAAATAAGTTTTGTTTCATCATTATCAAGAAGCAAAATAAACGTTCACAACAGGTCGTCCACCACATCAGGTCTAGTTACCCAACTGGTAACTTTCACAAGTTGTGGCCACGAAGCGCTTTCAATTTCTTTTCATTTAAATCCTAGTAGCAGCGTAACTTCAGATATATAATAACTCAACAATCACTTAGTGAATAAAAATACTCACTTGGTCCTCACAAGATTTATTTTATAGTCGCCCAATGTTCTTTTAATGTCAAGCTCAAATTTTTTGCCTTTATAAACAGCCATGACCAATTTTACAATTAACATTAAACAACGCAATTTCATATATAAAATAAAAACAAAGAAAAAGGTCACATGCATGCTCTTGAAGATGGTAGTGCACCAAATGCAGACCACGACTTACCAACACGAGTTAAAACCAAAATTCGCATTTCACACATGTGCACAAACATGCAGAAGCGGAAATATTTAAAAAATCGCAAGTACAGTGCAAGTCACTTAGTCCCACAACTTTTTATTGGTCATGTAGATTTTCAAATTCTCCAAAAATAGAAATGCA